TTTTCTTGCAGTAATTGAACTGATTTTTTTCTTTTTAATGTAAACAGACTTTCCCTTCTGTAGCCAGCCAAGTTCCCCTGGTGAATCTGTTATAGTATGGTGGCTTTTATGACTTCACAACTCAAAGAGTTGAAAAAAGCAACCAATGTCATAAGAATTTGTGCTGCTTTTCCTGAGATCAACCCCCAGGGTTTTAGCTGGGACTTTGCTCTCCTAATTCCTTGAAATTGGCCATGCCCTGTTGCATAGCTTCTATTTAGCATTGATTTCATTCTGAAATATTTTCACATCAGTTGTTTAAACATCTCCAGCCCCAGTAGATAGTGAACTTCTCAAGGACAGAGACCATGACTTATTACTATGTTTCTCTCACAGCCCACAGACTACCTTGAACTCAGCTCATTCATACATAGTTCATTCATTCATGTATGCCACGCAAATCATTCGTGGGGTGCCCGCCTTGTACTGCAAGAACTTACTCTGGGAAGAGCTGCTTGGGCAAGATGGGTCATGCTGGTGTCACAGACTATTAAAATTCTCAGAGAGCAAGGACTCAGCCGAATGTGACTTTTCATTGCATAGCCTGATGCCTTTTAGGGTGGTGAGTACATCAACACAGGGTTTCATGGGGGTCTGATTAAAGGGTAGAGTTGGAAAAACTGGGGAAAAGGTGATAGTGGTTCTTTGAGGAAGAAAAAATTATCCTTGCTTCAGAGTCCTGGCTACCATTTCCCTTCTTTAATTCTTGGTGATGTTGGTTTTTTGGGTTGTTTTTTTTTTTTTTTTTTTTTACATATTTTTATGTGAAAATTTCCACATACACAGAAGTGAAGAGTACAATGAACTCCATGACCCCACCACACATCTGTTACCTTTAACTCGTGACCAGTATTGTTTCTTCTTTGTTTCACTCTCTGTTCCCAGCTCTGGATTATTTTGAAGCAAAGCCCAGATGTCCTGTCATTTTATTCAGCTATTTCAATATATAATGCTAAGTAAATGATTTTAAAAATATAGTCAATGCCATTATACATTTAAAAATCAATAATTTCTTAATAACCTCAAATATACAATTCTGTGATTGTCTCATGAATATTCTTTTTTTATTTTTAAACAGTTGAATTTGTATTTGTTTGATTCAGTATCCAAATAAAGTCCATGAATTGTGACTGGTCAACATGTTTCTTAAGCCTCTTTTAATTTCTAGTGGCAGTTCTTAACAAGGGACAGTTCTGCTCCCAAGGGACACTTAGCAATGCCTGAAGACACTTCTGTTTGTTGTAGCTGCGTTGGGGGTCTCACTGGAGTCTAGTGGGTGGAGGCCAGAGTGCCGCTAACGTCCTGCATTGCCCAGGACGCCCCAGTGACAAAGAGTTATCTGGCCCCAGCATCAAGAGTGTTGACCCTGGGAAACCCTGACCTGGAGGTTCCACTTGACTCTCTTCTTTGTTTTGGAAACTGGAGTTTGTGGAGGCCCTGCCGTGCTCCCTGCTCTGCACTGTGCTCCTCGCACCTCTGTGGTGCTGTTCAAAAAGTCCCTCTCATTCTGAATTTCCTGTAACTTGGTGGTTCGATCTCCCCACATGTTCTCGAGGCATGCCCTGTGCCTGGCCTCTCACACACACCGCATTTTCCTCAGTGGGTGCACCCCTGCCTTCAGCAGGGTCCCTCACAGATGGGGCACGGCTATGGGAAACTCTGTGTGAGCTCTGCTGTCACGGGAGGGGCACTTGTCAAGGGCACGGACTCTCTCGGGGGCGCCGACGTGGGCCTTTATGTGCATCCTTCTCTCAAGTGGGCTAGTCATCCTCCAGCTTAAGCAAAACATCTATCCTTTTGTGGTTTTGAATTTGACACCAAGAAACTTGACATTTACACAGATGCAAGCTCTCAAAGCAGGTTCCAGGAATTAAAGTTATTCTTAATCAAATTAGCCCTTGAAGCAATCCGGAAGCTCTGGTTTCTGCAGTTGGCACGCTGTCCATCCACATTCCCCAAATCTACGCGAGCTGAGGTATTGCACAGACACCCACACAACATCGCCCCCACTTGTCCAAAAGTCAGATCCCTGCCACCCCAAGGGCCAAGGGCAAAGCAGAGACAATGGTAGGAAGCAAGACCCCTCCCTGCAAGGTGAGGAAAACAGCTGGGGGGGGGGGGCTGCAATGTAATTTTTAAGACAAACAATGCCCTTGCCTAATTATTGCGCATAAAGTAAAACCCACTGTCAGCTCCGGAGGTGAGAATTGACAGCAGAAGAACAAACAGGACTATGTAAAACCCCAAGACCTGGGCCTACTTAGGGTGGAGATAAAGAGCTTTATCCAAGTAGCCCTTGGGTTGTAATTACCACCACCATCCCCAGCCTTGAGGGCACTGTCTGAGGCAACAGGTCAAGAAAGGAAGAGATGGAGCGTAAATGGGCAAGAGCTGACTGCTCATCACCTCCTACTCCCGGCACTGGGAGCTCAGAGGGAGAGGACAGCCCAGCTCCTGAGAGGTTCAAGTGGGCACACAGGCAGGACTTTGGTGGGGTGAAATGAATCCCAGGAGCGAGGGAGCTCTGTAGAGGTGGATCTAATGTGGTCTGAGAAAGCTTCCGGGAGGAGCTTTCAAGGAGAATAGCCAAGTAAAAGGGGGATAAAAGGACATGGATGCTCTGACCTTCAAGGACCATGGCCTAGAATGCAGTGCACAGGGAGGGGAGGGGCGGAGGGAGGGGGAGCGCGGGCTAGAATGCCCTATACAGTACACCAGGGGCTCCAAGTGTCCTCAGAGCTATAGGGAGTTCTGCAGATTTTAAGCAGGAGAGAGACATAGTGTGACTTACATCTTGGAAAGGTTATTCTGGTCGTATGCATCAGGGAAAGGAGAGGGGACGGTAGAAGATGGGAGGACAGAGACAAAAACAAAGGTTTTCTTAGTCGTTGGCGTTGGCCGTAATGCAGGTAAACAAGGGGGAGAGTGCATGAAGATATAGGCGACAAAGAAGAGGGACAGGGTTAGCTCACGTAGTCCTTCCCCCACTCCCAGAGGACCAAAACCATCTCTCCTCGTTAGAAGACGGACTCCTGGACCTGTCAAGGTGGCAGATAATAAGTGATGCCTGCTAGATCTGAACGCAGCTCTGACTTCCGACTTCAAGCTTGGTCCCGACCCCCAGGGTCATCCTTCATTTTATGTCTTCAAGTTAAATTATACTCAACATAATATGCATTTTTTTAAGGCAGGAAAACACAATATGTTTTAGAAGATTCCAGAGAACAAAATATCAGACTGCATTGTCTGTGGAGAACCTGGTAACCTGAAGTGGGTGTTCCCATGCTGGGCTGTAGAAGCTTATATTCCAGCCACTGGGATGGGGTTGGCAGAGAGGTCCCATCATTCCCGGGGGTTGCCAGGGCAGTGAGCTGGGCCCCTAGAAGGGCTGTGTCTGACCTGAGACACATGGAAAGGTGAAAGCCCTCTGGGAGAGAAAGATGGTGTGGGTAGTCTTCGTGAAGAGTTGCAGACCCAAGACCTGCTGCCACGAGCAAGAGTCTCGTGGGGCCAAAGTTACCAAGGTCAGAGCTGAGCCACCAACCAAGTGGCTCTCGCTGAGGAGTGTGGTGGTCTCCATAGCTGGAGAAGAGTTGTGTATTTCAGCCTCTCTCTCTCTCTCTCCTTACTTCTTTCCCTCTCTCTCTCACTCTTTCCCTCTCTCTCACGTACACGCGCGCACACACGCGCGCGCGCACACACACAGTCATACACAATCTTTTAAAATGTAAAGAGCAAGGGGAAAATGTCTATTTGCACCATCTGGCTTGTTCTTTAAATAGCTCATTCCAAGAAAGAAATATGTTCTCCTTGCCTTAATTTATGTTTCTACCTTTTTCTTCCAATAGCCCTGTAGAAGGAAAACGGGGGTGGGGGTGGGGGTGGGAGCAGGTCCTTGCCTTGCAAGGATTCGGCAATGGCTTTGGTATGCTGCTGCCTACACAGCAGTATTTAACCCAATTACAGGATAATAAGGGCTCAGACAAATTATCTGCAAATAGATATGTCTATATGTAAACCCTCGTATTTGGAACATGCGTCTGGAGCCAAAGAAAAGTTAAGTGCTTAGCCAGAGAGGGACTGAGCTCACAGCTTTTTATTTCCTCAGTCCAGTGAGTGGAGATTCTTGAGTAAGATAAGTACGAAATCCCAGGTACAGACTAGCTGGTCCTGCCTCGAGCTGTACAAATGAACGTTTTGGCTCAAAGGGCATCTTCCTCTGAGGTCTTTGTCTGCCCAGTGACCCTGGGGGACACGGACGGGCCTGCTGGGCTGGCCGCGCGGGGCGCTCACACAGACTGCAGGCCCCGAGGCTGCCCAGCCAGCTCCCTCCCGGTGCTTCCCAGAGCAGCAAGGACTGGCGTCCCCAGGGAAACGCCCCCGGGCTGGCCCGAAGGGAACTGCTTCAAGCTCAATAAGCAAAGGCAGTGGGTTGCGCTGGGAGGGCAAGGGGGCAAAAGGATAACTTACAAAGGAACTGAAGTGTGCATTTTATGGTTCTAAACCATCAACCAATGTTAAAAGCGCTAAAAATTTCACTTTCCAGCCGAGCAGGAAACTGAGGTCCAGGGAGAAGGGACTTGTGAGGCCACCCAGCTGGCTCGCGGGGAAGCCAAGACCGAGTCGGGCACCGGCCCCAGCACAGGGCCCTCCGCAGGGCCAGAGCTGCCCTCACGGCAAGGCCGGGGGTGTTGAAAATGATTTGGCAATGTGACTCCTCGCTGCGAACAGCACAGTTTAAAAGAGAAAGTGGAGGTCGAGTGCGCAGAACTCCCTGCAGCCGGGGCCTATTTCTCTGCAGCAGCAGCGCCTTATCGCCGGGGAGTAAAGAGTCCCGGTCCTTTCAGGGCCTGTGGTCTTTGGGGAGCGACACAAACCAAGTGAGGAAAGAAGGAGAAAAAGTCCCTGGATCCCTGCAGGATCAATTCATTCAAAAAGGACATAATAGAAAAATATTCAACATGCAAAAGTCTTCTGAAGAAAATGAAGGAAAACCACAGAACAGGCCAAAGGCGGAGGAAGACCACCCTTCAGAAGATGTACCGCAGGAGGAGGAAGGAAATCCTCCATCTTTCGAAGAAGGCGTGAGCCAGGCAGCACCTGTCCAGGGATGTAGGGAGGACGGTCCCGTTAGGCGTTTGGACCCTGAAGAAATGCTAAGAGGAGTAGATGAGTTGGAAAGGCTTAGGGAAGAAACAGGAAGAGTAAGAAACAAGTTTGTGACGATGCATTGAAGCAAAGACATTCACACAGGCGTCCTTATCCTGTGTGCTTTAGGCCTTGAATTCTGGTTGTTGTTTTTTTATGTGATAGTAAAATCTGGCCCCTGCTTTCCATCTGTTAACATTTCCTGGTGTATCTTTTACCTTCGTTTTACTTTTAATCATCTGGTGGAATTTTGTTTGAGGTAGTTTCCTTGTTACCAGCATCTTACTGGATTTTGTATTTTGACTCATTCTCCAGGTCTGTTTTTCAGTTGGGAATTTTCATGCAAATGCATGAAAATATGTTCATCCCATATTATAAAATAAAACATAACAAATACAAAAGAAGAGAAAGTGGAATTCATTTTCTTTTTTTCCTTAATAATTGGAAAAAGTTAAATACAATACTTAATGTGTGCAATAAAAGTATAGATCGCATGATGCAGAATTTCTTTGTTGCCATGGGGGGGTATGTTTGCACATGTGTGTGCACAGGGGTGTGATGGGGACCAGCTGTGTTTGGGGGGAGTGTGTGTGTCATGAGCACTGTCCCCCTCCAACCCAGCACTATGACATGCTAACCATCCTGTGGGTTTAACGGTCCACGCATGGGGCGTGCTGCTTCGTCTGCCCCGCTGTTTCTTTCCTGCCCACCCTTTTCTCCACTACGATAGGCTCCGTTGCACCTTAAACACTGTTTTAGGGTGTTTGCTGCTTTATCTGGGGCATTGATACCGGCCCCCATCTAGGCCTTGGAAAATAGTTTCGGTTCCCAGGGAGAGGGAGGTGGACCCATCCCAGTGCTGGGGGCGGGGGCGGGCGGGTGAGGGGGCTTCTCAGGTGACGCTTGCTTGAGGCATTGACAGTTTCCCTGCCATTTCCAGGAATGTCTTCAATCAGCTGGGACATCTGAGAGGCTCAGAGGACAGTGGTGGCAGTCTGAGGGAGGCTGTAGGAGGTGACAGGGGTGAAGAGGAAGGAGAGGGGCAGGGATCAAGCCCAGAGGCCCAGCCTCAGAAGTCCCCTGTCTGAACTCCTGCCTGTTATCCCCTGTCTGTCCAGGCCCCCCCCTGCCTGCTTCTACCACCTGTTTTTGGTACCTGGATTTTTCAGTTTCTAAAGACCTGGGAGGGACAGCTGAGCACGGAGCAGGGCCGGGAGCAGGGGAAAGAGCAGGGTGTTGTTTTTGTAGCCAGGAGGCCTGGTTTTCCTTGGTGGGAGGAGGTACCCAGGTGTTTTAACGCAGCCCCCAGTGCAGGCCGGGCCCGTTGGAGTGGATTTCGATTCTCATCTGCCAAACTACACTTTCAAGGGGTGTCAGATATCGAAAACCTCTCCGCCCAGCCAAAGCAAGCATCTGGGGGAGGAAAGGCCCAGAAGGGGCTAGGGATAGTAGGAGAAGATGCAGGCTGAAAAAAAGGAAAAAGCAGAAGCAAGAAGAAAAGTTCTTTCACATGGTGTTCCAAGTTGGCTGTTTCTTTTTAAAATAATTGGTTAAGCTGTGCTTAAAGCCAGGTTAGTCTGTTCTGCATTGCAAAGGAGCCTGGGCAGAGACCGTGCTTCTTGGCACAGGTGGGATTTTGGGAACGAAGGCTTTGCAGGACAAGGGAAGGGGCTGTGTCCGGTGACCCAAGATGACCTGTCCTTTCAGGGAAACCCAGAGGGAGAGAAAAAGTGGCCAGAAAGGGTGTGAGGGAAGTATTGGGAGGGAGGGAAGAAGAGACAGATGAGAAGGGATGAGGAAGGGAGGGGAGGGGAGAAATGGGGAGGGAAAGGGGAGATAAAGGAGGAGGGAGATGAAGGCAAGAGTTGGGGCAGGTCTCCTAAGTGCCTGGTTTCAGGCCCCTTTCATGTAAGCTGGGGACAGGTGGCAGGGTCCCTGGGGACCCCGCTGGTGTTTTCCCACTTGGGTCTCTCTGCCTCAGGCCTAAGTGTCAATAATGGTGCCGACTGCTGCCCCTTCTGTAGAGTTCAGAATTCTTCTGTCTAATTACTCATGAAAGCATAAAATTAAGACATTCTGGGAAGCCAAAGGAATCTGGTTTAAAATGTGCGTTTGGGGAATGGAAGGCATTAGAAGAATGCTCATGTCTGGACTATACTGTTGTTTTTTTCCCGGTTTCTCTTCAAATTAATGAATGAGTCACGGTCGTCTTTATGCCTGGAAAATGCTCCAGAAGGCAGAATCGGGAGGGCTGCGGGGAGGGGGGCTGACAATCTCATTTTCTCTGGCTTTTTGGACTGTTCAGACCTGTTGTTGGTTTTCTCTTCTTTTTTCCATCTGTCTCCAGAACAAGGCTCTTTCCCATTAGTCAGCAATACAACTTGAGCACCTTTTTCTTCCCTCCTCCCATTCCCAGGACAAGACCGCCTACCTTGAATAAAATCCAGCCACGCCGCCAGGGTACGCCTGGGGTTCTCCCAGCATCTGGGAGGCCGGGCTGACCTTGACGCCTCAGTGGGGTAGGTCCTGTAGGAACCCTAGCTTCTCACCCTGCACCTCTGATTCCTCCCCAAATACCTGCCTTCTGTCCGCTCCCCAAACCAAGGGCATCCATTCAGAATGAGTAGAACTAGCCCAACCATCAGAGGGTTAAAGACCAATCCTGTAGCTTCTAGAAAGCACAGAGGACCTCCATTTTGCCTCAAGTGCATTCCCTCCTCCCTCCTGTACCTCGATGCCCCAGCCCGCCTGGGTCCACAGTCCAGTGCCCCTCCCACTGGCTAGCAGGCCTGCCTCCCTGCCCACAGGCATCACGTATCCACAGGAAATTCGGAAGTAGTCCACGTTCCATACTTATTTCTTGAGGGGGCCACTTCGTTCCTCTATTCCAACAAAACACCTCTTCCTTTAATGCTGGCATTAGGAATTAACTCTGATAATAGAAGGAGGGGAAGGGGGACGGTCTCATGTTCAAACAGCTTTATAGAGGACCCCTCATCGGAGCCTCCCCAAAGCCCAGGGCCATTGTTGCTGACAGATGGAGAAAGGACATCCTGGACGTGCCTTCTCATCCAATGCTTATGGGCTTCTGCGTCCTCTCAGCTTCTCTCAGCAGAGAGGAGAGGAGAGGAAGGGAGAGGGGACCATTGACTTATTTTATGGTGCACCTACTGTGCATCCAGAGTTATATATTTATGCCCCATGGAACCTGAGGTTGAATCAAGGAGGCTGCTAGACCTTCAGAGGTTAATAAGCAGCCAAAGGTCACATGCCCAGTTCCCAGCTGGCCTCTCCAGGCCACAGGGCAGGAGCCGCTCATCCCCTGGGGGCTCAAGCATCTTTTCAAGTTCTGACTTTTTTTTTCTTCCAGGAGACAGAACTGGCAGCATCCGCAGCCCACTGTCCTCAGAGGCCCGGACCGCAGGCTCGGCATTGGGAGTGCATTTTAGCTTAGGGCTGGGCTGCCTCCAGTGCCCAGATCAGACCTGGTGGGGAGGGAGTGACAGGGAAGAGGGCCGGTGGGCCCAACCCTCCCCATCCCTCCTTCATCCCTCCTTCCTCCCTATCCCAGCCGATGAGCAAAATGCTTGAAGTTGTTGTGCCCAAATTAGGTGAAGAACATTTATGCTTTATTTGCAAACCTCATGGCAATAACCATGTAAACGATTAAATATGTATCAGTTTGACTTCACTGTAAGTTTGATTTAATCACAACACTAGAACTCTACATTTATATATTCTGTTTTTATAGGTTCTTGCTTGTTGAGTATGGCCATTTGCTCAAAATAAATTGAGGGAACACTGTTTATGTATGCCAGTTTCAGAGCCAGGAGAGCAAAGCTGATGTTTATGCAAGATGTGATTATAAAATAATGACTGTGTTTTTTCAGCAAACAGAGGAGGACTCCAAAGACATTCCACTGGAAAGCTCCATCCCATTCCAGAGAAGTTGCCATTGCTCAAGTCCTCGTGGCATCTCTTTTTGGAATTACCTTCAGAGTCCATTTGGTGTGGGCCACGTGGAAAAAAAAATAAACCATTCCACCCTACCTCGTTGTTGACTAAAAAATTCTATCACCCAGTTTGATTGCTCACTTAATTCCCCAGGATTGGCCTCAAATGGCTTTCAATTACTTCTAAATATCAGATCAACCCTCAAATGATGAAAACTAGCAACCTTTGAAGGACATTCCCCAAAAATGTTAAGCAGGGTCTGGGAGGCTCTCCAAAAGAATTGAGAGAGACCCAGGCAGGGTTGGAGGTTGAGGCCAGTGTTCAGCTGAGCCTTGAAGGACAGGAAAGCTCTGAGTAATGTTACCAACAGTCTGCAACATACCAAGTGCTTTTCCCACTGTTCCATCTTTGGAGTCTCACGCCAGGAGCAGGCATAACAATGATCATCAGATTGTAGGTGAGGAATTTAAAGCCCAGAGAAAATAATGTGTCCTAGTCATACAACTAGCAAATAAATCGCAGAATTGGGACTTGGAATCAAGGCTTTATGGGCCTGAATGCACAGTGCCCACTGTGCCCTTCTGTCCCCATGGTATCTCAGGAAGCAGAGACCAGTAGGCTGGGCTGCCTGGAGCAGAGGACTTCTGTAGAGAAGAGGTGAAAGACAAGCTCCAAGGAGTAAGTTGGGCTTGCTTCTGGGAGGCCTTTGGAGCAGGTGAACAGTATGGCAGAGACTGAGGCTGTAGCTACTGGTGACAGACCAGTGGTGGGGACAGCACAGGGCCTGCAGCATGACGTCTCTCACGTGGACCTGGAAGCCGACCCTGCAGGCTGGCTCACTAAACGTCTTCCCCAAACAGCCTTCCTGAATTTGACAGGCTGACCCCTTGCAGCTAGAGTTCTGCCAATGGCCCAGGTATTCCAAATAGTGGTCCCACATGAGGCATGGAAGGCAGCAATGAGCAATGTGAGGTAGCTGCTGGTTGTGGGGACATCAGATCCCTTGTGGTCCTTAACATCACAGATGTAGAGTTTCAGCTGAAATTGTCCCATAGTGTGGTTGAGTGTTTCTTTAGTCTACATTGTTCTTAGTGCGATTCTTTGGCCTTCCAAGAAATTTTACAAATTCCCC